CTGGCCAGCTCTCTCTGTGAAAGGGCCTGCCTTGACGCTTCTCCACCTTCCTGGAATTCTTAGGATTACTTCTCCAGTCCCTAGATGGGCAGGCCTGTTTTAAGCCTTGTTTCCAGAACCAGACAAAGCTGGATTTGAAACCGGGCGAGCCATTGAGCAGCTATGACCTTGCAGAAGCGGCATAGTCTCCGAGCCCGTGTCTCCATCTACGAAAACAGGGCTAGATCCTTAGTCTGGAGCTGGCATGGGAATCACGCCGGAAGGGGGCTCTTTAAAACGGACTGGAGCCTGGTTCCCGAGTGTCTGGCTCAGTGGATGGAGCCTGAGGACTTATTTCTAACAAGTTCCTGGGTGATGCTGCCGCTGTGGACTGGCAACACGTTTTGAGACCCCACACCCAGCTCCGGGCTTGGTAACACCTGGGGTTTTGAGGCAGCAGCAGGAACTTGGCACATAGTAACTGGTTTCATTCGGACGCTAGCCGACCTCCCGTATTGAATAGTTGCCCATCTTGGTGTCTGAGAAGCTCCACAGCTGGAGGTGGCGGCTCTTGGTCTCGGACCCTCATGTGATCTCTGGTTTGTGATTGCTTTGATGAACCATTTGGGTCCAGGTGCACCTGCTCACACCATCTCCCGTATCTGGGAGCTGTGCCCCACCCCCACTGTAAGGGCTCCGCTGAGCTTTGGGAGCCTGTGGGGCTTAACAGGGAGATCGCGCTACAAGTCTCTGGCGCTAAGTTAAGGGAGACTGTCAGTCGGTTTGACGTGGGCTAGGATCTCCACAGTGCTGGTGACCTTGGGCGAGTGTCTCCCTGTAAAGTGATCAGGATGCCTGCCGGAAAGGGTGGCGAGAGGATTAAGTGCGTTAAGAGGGCCGTTCCTCCCCTGCCGGCTTCGCTCGAGTTGGCCTCCATTGTGATCCGTGGTTATTGCTAGGAGTGGCTGCAGGGTGTGGGGGCTGGGCTGCCTCAGAGCTCCTCCCCCACCAGCCCACCTGCCGAAGCACGTGGCCCAGCCTCAGGGCAAAGGGGAATCTGGTGCCCTCGGGAAGGTGGCCAGCGCGGTTCTCTGGAGTGGTTGAGTCCAGCCGGAGGTAGAGGCCTGTCCCCGGCTGCTCGGGTTGTTCCATGATAGGGTCAGGATTTGGGTCACCCACCCGAGGTCTGGGGAGAAGTGTCTTGCCCAAGGTCACAAGGCCGCCACCAGTAGAGCCAGGATGGGGTTCCAGGTGGCTTGACTTGCAGCCAGCGCCTGTGCCCATGGCACCCCCTCACCCCAGCTGTCTGGGTTATTTTGGGCTCCGTCCCGTGCCAGCTGTCTGCTGGCATCCCTGCCCGGGACTGTCTGGTTTTAAGTAACCGGCGTGGTGCTGTTGGCTCCTCCTGTGAGGTCCAGGGCTGGGTTTTCAATCCCGGATGAGCTGTGCTGCGTCTGTCTCCTTTGCTGGGAGGGAAGGGTATTCCTGCCCAGACTCCTAGCTGCCCTAGTACAGCAAGAGGGTGAAAGCACCTGGCAAAAACTGAGGTTCACATTGTTAAGATCCCAGAAGCCTTATCTCTCTCTCCCCTTCCATACTCCCTGAAACCTAAGTTTTAAATTTGATTCTGTCATTAATCCCCCTGGATTTCACGTGACCCTCTACCGCCGAGGGTGTGGCTCCTTCCTTTGGATAGATACTCCCCGCCTGCGTTGGTGCGTTGGATAATTGATGTCTGGCTCCCTTCCAGCTGCACCTGGGAGGGCTCCAGCCAGTTCCTCCCCTCCGGCCCTCAATCCAATCAGGGAGCCGGTGGGCGCTCAGCTGTGGTCCGAGTGTGGTTTTCGGCGCGGTGTCGGGACCCACCTGGCTGGACTGTACCCTCCTCCCTCTGCTTCGGTCCCTATTCTTTGTCCCGCCACCGTCGCCACCAGGGGCCTGGAGGGCGGGGCAGTTTGTCCTGCTGCTATCCTTGCTGGTCCCTCGAGGGCGCCCCGCCTACCGGTCACCCAGCGAGCTTGGGGCGGGGCCGCTGCTGGCGCCCGGGTCCTGGGGCCTGCTGAGAGAAGGCCACGCCAGCGGAAGGGCCGGCGGGGAGGTGGCAGGGCTTGCCTTACTACTGAGACGCCGGCGTCCCCGCCTCTTCCGGCCCCTCCACCCAGAGCCCTAGCGTGGAATACGACCTTTTGGACCCTCGGGGTGGAGAGACGCCGAAGCCTCTGCCCGGGCTGTACCGTAAGTCGGCTCAGCCATCTCAGGTTGCCTGGCCCAGTGCGTCTCTGGCTGGCCTGTGACCTCCAGCAAGCTCCTGCTCCTCCCCCCACCCCCCAGCGCTGGGAGGAGCAGGTCGGGCACTGTTTTGAGCTGTTGGCACTCCAGGAGTGGCCCTGTCCCGGGCTGGTCCCTGAGTGCTCATGGGCAGCTGAGGCCTGGAGGCTGCTCAGGGATGGTAGATGTACTTGCCAGCCCACCTCCCATCCCTGCGACCTCAGGGAGTAGTTTCATTCCTGAAGGCTCAGTGTCTTCTGCCTCATGTGGGTGTCACCTCTACAGCGTTCTCAGGCACCCAGGGAAGTGGGTGCCACAGCATTGCCTCACTGGGGCTGGCCAGGCTTTGCTCTGACAGCTCAGCAGTGGCTGGGCCCCTGCTATTCCCTGGGGCTCAGTTTCCCTGTTGGCGTCACTATGGCGTCGGCCTCCGTGCAGACACCGATGAGTTGACCCCACAAATGCCACCTGGCCACTCCCCCAGGCTTCAGTGCCCCAGCAACTCTTGTGTCAAATACCAGCTTAAAGAATCTTTTTTTGCCTTCTCAAACTCTCCAGGAATTCCTGGTGACTGGAAGGGGAGTGACTCGGGTCCTCAGCCTCTTGGAGGTAAGGGAGCTAGCTGCCTCTCTGGTGGGCGTGCCCAGCTCTGCCCAGCTTCTGAGGAAGCTGCGAGCAGCTGGCTTGGCTCCAAGGTATTTTTAGCTACTGATCAGCCCCGCTCCATCACCACGACAGGTGGGTCCAAATCAAACACACTCCAGGCAGGTGGGGCTGGGGTTCTGCCAGCCTCCTGGCCAGCAGGGGTGGGTGGGTAGGCTGGGGCCGGTGTCAGCTGTTCCGCCTGGGCCAGGCCAGGCTGGGAAGGGGACTTGCGCTCACTTCCCGCCTCCGCTCCTCTGCAGGCTTGTGCTCTCATAAGCAGAGATCACAGCCCATTTCCTGGATGGAGAAAGTGGACGTTGAGGTCTGAGGCTTTTGCGGACAGTCAGGAGCCCTCCTGTGGGCTCGGGTGACTCACTCAGCAGCTTCTGGGTCCTCTTCCTCCACCTCCAGGAGTGCCTCATTCACCTCCTGTGGCCCTGGGGAGCCTTGGCCCCAACCCTGCCTCCCCAGCCAGTCAGAGCTCCTCTGGTTACCCTGAAGGAGCTCAGGGTCCAGCTGGTGGTTGGGCTCCCCTCCTGTCCCCCACTCCCGTGGAGCCTGGCAGGCAAGTCCTCCGTGATGTGACCCCGGTTACCTTGACAACCCTGCCTGGCCTCCCGTCTCCTGGCCCAGCCACTGAAGAAGCTGAAGAGGTTTTCTAGCTGTCATGCATTTGTCAGCCCGGGTCCCCACCCTGTTTCCCCCTGCCTGCCCTCCAGTGCTGCCAAGCCGTGTGCCAACCAGCACTCAGCCTTCCCTAAACGGTTCCCCTCTTCCAACCTGCATTGCTTCCCCCGAGACTGACCTCGAAGACTGGGGCACAACTGCCTCTGAATAAACGTGTTGCAAAAAAGGAACAAATGAGTTGCTGTGCATTTGTCTAGTGGGTGTTTGACCCAGGAGACGCCCCTTTGTCCAGTGACAGGAGAGGGCATCCACCCAGAACCTGGGGTGTCCTGGCCTCCCGTTCCCAGCTCCGCTGTGGTCTTGGGATTCTATGGGCGGTCGCTGGCGCCCTCTGGCGGTCAGACCGTGTCTTCCTTGTACCGGCTGAGAACCTTGACCACGAAACTGCCAGCTTGGCGGTTTTCCTCCACGAAGTGAGATTTACCTGACCTTTGCAAAGATCTTGAAAACGGAGTTTTTGGGGTGGGGTTGCCAGCAAAAAGATCCTGCGTCCTGCCAGCCCCTATCTGAAGAAACTACCGAAGGTCACTTGACCCTAATCATGCTGCTGTTGGGGTTTTGTTAGAAATGTGCTCTTCCTACCCGAGTTGGTAGAATCCCACTGTCTCGGCCACGCTCCCGTGCCCACCTGCCGTGGGCTGGCTCCGGGGGTCCCTCTGCCACCCTGACCGCTCACTTGGCTGGTGCCGCAGTCACCCCTGCCCGTGGTGGGGGTTACGGTGACCTCAGCCATCAGACCTGATAGTGTTGCCTACAGTTAGTGCTCAACAAGCTGTTTCCATCAGGAGATGCCAGGGTTGGGGGGATTCGTGGGGTGAAGGAAATGTGGCTGCTGGCAGGGAAACGCATTTTCTTACATTTCTTGGTTGGTGTGGGGTTATCAGTCTCCAAAACGCGAGGAGAGGGAGAGGGACCCAGCTGACTTCAACTAGAGCTACTCCAACCTGCCCCTCCCTGATGGCGTCTGGCGTGATTCACGCTTCTGGCTCCGGCTGGAAGGAGGCGCCCGCCCACGTGGTTTGGGGCCAACCTGCGGCCGCTGTTGAGGCGATTGCCCGGCAGAGGGCGCTGGGCGTCCACTCTACAGCCCGGGGTCGGGTGCGGTTAAGGGGAGCCCAGTCCCTCACCCCGAGCCCGCGCGCGCGCAGGCGTCCCGGGGCGAAGTGAGGTGGGCAGACACGACCCTCACATCAGCATCTTCCCTGGTGCCACCGCCGCTACGTCCTGTGGGGAAACTGAGGCCAGAGGCAGATAGGTGCGGAGCCACGCCGCTGGGGCAGTGCGAAGCTGAGGGGCTCTTTCCGGAGCTCGAGGCCGGGGGCTCCTCGAACCCGGTGCGGAGGCACAGCCCGCCAATCCGGGAGGCCCTGTCCGCGCCGGCCAATCGGAGTGTCCCTGCCGAAGGAGGCGCCTGCCAATCCGGGGCGCCCTGAGTCGCTGGGCAGCCACGATCGGGTCTCGCCGGCGGGGGGCGCGCCGTGACGCGCCGGGGTGGCGGTGGGAGCTGCGCTTGCAGCTGAGCCCCGTTTCTCCGGTGCCGCAGTATCCCTGGTACTGAGAGCTGAATACCCACACCCAGGGCTGGGGCCGTAGCAGAAAGGAAACTGAGGCTAGGAGGTCGGCCGGGAGGCTGCCTGGCGGAGGCGGTGCCGCTCCGAGTGGGCGGGGCTAGTCCAGGCCCCGCCCCGTCCCCGACCCCGACCGCTCCGCTCCGCTCCGCTAGTGCCCGGCACGCCGCCGCCAGTGCTGCCGGCTCCAGGCTATGGATGCCCCGGGGGCCCCGGCCCCGGCCGCCGCCCCCGGCCCGGGCAGGAAGGAGCTGAAGATCGTGATCGTGGGCGACGGCGGCTGCGGCAAGACCTCGCTGCTCATGGTGTACAGCCAGGGCTCCTTCCCCGAGGTGAGGCCCGCAGCGGGGCTGGGGTGGGGGCGAGGGATCCCCCTCAGCCTGAGCCCGGAGCCCCGACCCTCGGCCCCCCGGCGTTCCGAGTCCAGAGAGGCGGCTGCCACCCCGGGGCGCCCCCTCGGGAATTCCAGAGCCCAGCGGGGTGAGGGGGGCTGATCCCGGACGAGTGAAGGGGGCGGACAGTGGGTTCAGCTGGAACCTGGGCCCACTAGGGACCAACCCCCACCACGTCTCCCGCAGCACTACGCCCCGTCGGTGTTCGATAAGTACACGGCCAGCGTGACGGTTGGCAGCAAGGAGGTGACCCTGAGCCTCTACGACACGGCCGGTGAGTGCGCCTGCGCGCCGGGGGTCCCGGGGGTCCGCCCGCCCGAAAGGTTTCCCCGCCGGGGCATCCCCCACCGGGCGTCCCCGCCCTGCACCCTGGCGGGGCCCCGGCGGCTCTTCACTCCTGACGGCCGCTCAGAGCGCTAGCAGCGCGGCCCTAGAGGCCAAGCCCTGTCTGTTAAGCGGAGGGTGTTCGGAGGAGGAGGCGAATTCCTGGGCCACCCACCCAGCTCTGTGCGTAGAGCCCACGGCTCGTTCCTCTCCTGTGCTTCTAGAAAGTAGCATACTTCTCTTGGGCCTCCCGTGATTCCAGGATTGCTGCGCGGCCTGCTGTGGTCTCTGCAGACTCTGAGGGCCGCAGATTTGAGTCTCTGGGTGCTCGGATTGCCTGGGCTGTGGTTCTGGAATGCTGCCGGCCACAGATCAGCCTGTGGCTCCAAGGCTCTGTGGGTGCTCTCTGCAGCCTGAGGCTCCGGGGTCCGGCGGGCATGAGTTCTGCATCTGCAGCTCCGGGGATTCCACGGCTTGCAGTTGGTGGTTCTGGAATTCTGTGGCTACAATTACTTCTGTGCTTTCCTAGTTCCCTGGGAGGAAACCAGACAGTGTAGAAAATGAACTAAGGAAGGAACAGAACACTGAGCACCGGGGCCCCACACCAGGCTCTGCTGCTACTCACATCCCGCCACAGGCGGTTTGTGGATTTCTTCTGTTCAATTGCATGAGAGTTGGTGTTGTGATGGGTGGGGATGTGAGGAACACCGTCAGTGGGAGGACCCTGACTCCCATCTGGGCTTCATCAACATTAGGGACCAAAGGTTGAGATCCCCAGGTGGGGCCTCACCCCACCTCTGTGACTCAGTGTTTAGTGACCTGTGGGGAACCATGTCATCAGGTGGCCCTCCCCTTCCAGCTAAGCCTTTTTTTTTCTGAGACGGAGTTTCGCTCTTGTTACCCAGGCTGGAGTGCAATGGCGCGATCTCGGCTCACCGCAACCTCCGCCTCCTGGGTTCAGGCAATTTTCCTGCCTCAGCCTCCCGAATAGCTGGGATTACAGGCACGCGCCGCCATGCCCAGCTAATTTTTTGCACCTTTAGTAGAGACAGGGTTTCACCATGCTGACCAGGATGGTCTCGATCTCTCAACCTCGTGATCCACCCGCCTCGGCCTCCCAAAGTGCTGGGATTACAGGCTTGAGCCACCGCGCCCGGCCCCAGCTAAGTCTTTATGTGTGAGATGAAGGGTCCCATTGACCTAGGATGGAGCCAAAACTCAGCCCCCTCCCCACCCCCCGCCCCCACCCCCGCCCCCGCCACCAGCTAGAACTTGGAGAGGACTGGAAAAGGGGCTGTCCCAGCTCAGAGCCCCCTCCGTTCCAACTTCAGCAGGTCTTGCCTTAGCAAACTCTTGAGGAACTTGTCTTTGCAGGATGTGGGCCCTGTAGGGCCACCCCCAAAAGGGGACCTGTCTCCAGCCCTGGGTGAGCTGGGAGAGCCCAGTAAAAGTGTGGTCTGTCTGAGACACTTTTACTTTCTCGTTTCTTGTCCAGGAGCCCAGGAGGGGGCAAGGTCATTAACCCCACCTTGTGGGTCAAGTGCTGCTGGATGGAGACATTCCCAGCAACCCACGGCCTTGCAAGAGGCCAGGAGTGTTTTTCTTTCCTCCTCCTCTGCCCTTGGGGCCTCCCCTATCAGGCTAGGGTTCACGGTTCACGGCAACCTCCACATCATGAGAACACAGATGGCCTTTCTGGCCTTGCCCGGGGAGAGATGCTCAAAGAACATGTCAGAGTAGATTGTGGTGTGGAAATTCTGGAAAGCTGCAAGTTGGTGTAGGAAGAATTTGTGCTAAAAGCTGCTACGAGAGGGACAGAGCGCGTCCCCTGCCATAGTCACCACAGGCAGGAGACCACTGTCACTGTGGGGACCCCATCCAGAGTCACATCCTGTCAGACCTGGGTTTTGACACCGGCTCCACTGGTTGTGTATCACCGGGGATGTCTGGGCCTCAGTTTCCTCATCTGTCATGAGAGCTAAGAGGGTCACGAGGATTAAATCAGATTACTATATGATGTCCAGCACTCAGCGCAGGGGCTGGATCTGGGGAAGGGCTCAGCAAATGTCCTTGTGACTTTTAAGACCTTCTTACCAGGCTGGGTGCAGTGGCTCACACCTGTAATCCTAGCACTTTGGGAGGCTGAGGTAGGAGGATTGCTTGAGGCCAGGAGTTCAAGATCAGCCTGGGCAACATGACGAAACCCCATCTCTACTAAAAATATGAAAATTAGCCAGCTATGGCGGCCTGTGCCTATAGTCCCAGCTACTCGGAAGGCTGAGGCAGGAGAATCGCTTGAACCCAGGAGGTGAAGGTTGCAGTCAGCTGAGATCATACCATTGCACTCCAGCCTGGGCAACAGAGCAAGACCCTGTTTCAAAAAATAAAAAATAAAAAAAATTAAAGACCCTCCTACCATCACTGCCACGGTCCAAGCTGGCCCCAGCTCCTGCCGCAGTGGGGGCATCTGTCTTCCCTGGCAAGATTCTTCCAAGCAGCAGAGAAGCGGGGCTCAGGGAAGGAGCTGGCCTCATAGTCTGACAGACCACGTTGGGGTATCCAGGAAGAAGAAATCTGGCTGCTCCCTCCAGAGTGTCGCCAGTGACGGGAAGACCCGCTCATTAGAGGAAATCCCCCGATCAGTGAGCACTGCCAGGGAGGGTCCAGGTCCCGGTGCTTGTCATGAAGCAAGGCTTAGAAGGGGTTGGAATTAATGGTAGTAGGTCTGAATTCGGAGGTGATTCATCTCTGCCTGCGTGGCCGGCTCTCAGGAGAACGTGGCACAAAGCAATGACCAGGCAGCCACATAGGGAGAGGCAAAGGCTAAGAGGGCAAGGGAATGGCCAAGCCAGAAATGAGTCTAATAAATGTAGTTGTAGAAGGTTCTAGAACCCAATGGGCTACACCCAGTGGCGGAAGGGGCATCTTCTCAACTGGTGGCCGCCAGAGCTTGTGTGACAGGGGCAGCTCTTGAGGCTGAATTTCGCACTGGACCAAACGCTGGCCCAGGGTCCAGACCCTGCCCACAGGGGCCCTTGTCGAAGGCCCGTCTGGCTCCGTCTCCGTTCTGAGGAAGTAGTTATAGACCGCGCAGCGGAGGAGGGGAGATGGGGTGACCAGGCTCTCAGGGCTGAGGGGAAGGGGCGGGGGCTGTGGCACCCACTGCTCTGTCGGCCTCACCCCAGCCCCGACATCCTCTGAGACAGGAAGCTGCGGTGAGGTTTGAAGCTTCCTGGGCAGGGGGAGGCAGGGGAAGGTGGGCTGTGAAGACACAGGCGGGGCTGAGCTCCTAGGGCCATGGTGTGGGGACCAGGGTTGGAGGCGCACAGGATCGGGTGTGGGTTGCCTGGGAGCAGCGATCCCCTTCTCAGCCTGAGATGGGAACAGAAAGAAAACTGGTGGGCAAAGGAGGAGCAGTTGCTAAGACAAGGAAGCAGGGACAGGTGGGTGTCGTGAGCCCCAGGAACACTGGAGGCCTGGGCCAGGCCGAGGCTGGGGTCACCCAGAAGGTGGTCTCAACTCCCGGCTGGGCTGCCCAGCCCCTGTCTCCCGGGGAAGCGCAGGTGGGCGGTCCCCAGCAGAGTGAGTCGAAGTGGGTTCCTCTTCTGGCAGCTTCCCTTCTCGTGCTGCCTGCACCCCTCCCTGACCAACGCCCCAGCTGGAGCTGGGGGCCACCTGCCCTGTGTGTCCTTGGGCAGACTTGGGGTCTTTTCTCCTCAACCCTACCCCAGGCCTTAGAGACCCCTGACCCCAGAAGGAGGACTGCCTTGGCAAAGTCCCATCCCCCCAAGAAAATAGCCTTGTAGGCCCGATGGCTCACGCCTGTAATCCCAGCACTTTGGCAGGCCGAGGCGGGCAGATCACGGAGGTCAAGATATGGAGACCATCCTGGCCAACATAGTAAAACCCATCTCTACTAAAATACAAAAATTAGGCCGGGCGTGGTGGCTCACGCCTATAATCCAAGCACTTTGGAGGCTAAGGCGGGCGGATCACCTGAGGTCGGGCTTTCAAGACCAGCCTGACAAATATGGTGAAACCCTGTCTTAAAAAAAAAAAAAAAAAATTAGCCGGGTGTGGTGGCGCATGCCTGTAGTCCCAGCTACTCGGGAGGCTGAGGCAGGAGAATTGCTTGAACTTGGGAGGCAGAGGTTGCAGTGTGCCGAGATCATGCCACTGCACTCCAGCCTGGGTGGCAGAGCAAGACTCCACCAAAAAAAAAAAAAAAAAAAAAAAAAAGCCCTGTGTGCAGCCTGAGCCTCCCTTCCGCCCAGCCCCGCCGCACGCCCGAGTGCACTTCAGGATATGGGGCGCTCCAGGGGAGCCCAGGCCTAGAGACTTGAACTCACCAGAAGTGCATGCATCCTTGGCATGTAACTCCTGGAGTTTTTTGGGAGGTGTGGTTAGCGACAGGGTCTCACTGTGTCACCCAGGCTGGAGTGCAGTGGCATTATTGTAACTCACTGCAGCCTCAGCTTCCTGGGCTCAAGTGATCCTCCCACCTCAGCCTCCCAAAGTGCTACGATTACAGGAGTGGTCTCCTGGGCTGTCTTAACCTCTAAGCCCATCTGCAGAGGCTGGGTGGGTCCCCTCTGTGACTATGGGCAGGTGATATGGCCCCTTTCAGCCCTGGTATCATTTTGGGTAGAATGTGGGGGGTAGTGATATCACCTGGTGTCTGGGAGGCCCCTAAAGCTTCTTAGTCCAAATATTCAGGGGTTCTGACCACCCCCCACCCCAGGCTATTAACTTCCCCTGGAGGTTTCTGTTTCAAGAGTAACCACAGCAGGGCACAGTGGCTCACACCTGTAATCCTAGCACTTTGAGAGGCCAAGGCAGACAGGTTACCTGAGGTCAGGAGTTCAAGACCAGCCTGGCCAACATGGCAAAACCCCGTCTCTACTAAAAATAAAAAAAAAAATTAGCCAGGTGCAGTGGTGTGCGCCTGTA